TCTGAAATATGATCTGTCCCCAACTAACAAAGTCTTAGTTTTATCCATTCCTTGCAGAGGCAAGGGTGTGTGCTGCTTGTCTTGGTTACATGGCTCAGTAAGGGGGTGAGAAGTTGGGCTGGGGGTGCCCAGGCTTCCAGCTCATTTCTGCTGCCATCTGCTATTTCCTGGGCTTACTCTTCTACCTCCACAGAGCATCCAATGGCTCCTTCTGTAGAATGGCAAATGCTGCTCACCTGGTAGGTCTAGAAGAACAGCCAGGCAGCGAGGACAAGCTCTCAGGAAAGGGCAACTGCTATGTCATGCCATCCTAGACATTAGGCTTCTCCCTCCCTTACCAGTGCCTACAAGGCCTGCTCCTCATCCTCTACTGCCCACTAACTTGCTCACCACCATCCATGGACTGAAAAAGACCTGTACTGTCTTCCCTCTGAGAGTTCCTACTCTTGCTCACGGATGCCTGACAAAGCTAACTTCAATGTACTGGGGAAGCACTTGAAGAGGCCGTCTCTAAGAACAGACTGTATAAATGCCAGAACTGCCCGTACCTCAAAAACATCCACAGAGCCCTCAATTCAAAGCATTTCACAATGCTCAACTGGGGCCAAGTTAGGTCCGACACTGATGACACTGGAACATCTGTTTCTAAGAACTGGCAGCTCCAGGCAGCCCTTGCAGCTTCAAGGAACTGGCACAAATTAACTTTGACCAAGAACAAAATAATAACTGAAAGGTCAGAACAAACTACCTTTTGAAAGTGTACCTTAGTGCGCATGAAGTAAGAACACCTCTGCCGTTTTAGACATAAAAATCCTCCTTTCAGTAATAAAGAGAATTTTCTGCCATGTTTGACATGTGCCTGTAATTCCAGCACTCAGGAGGCTGAGGCAGGAAGACAGCCACAAGTTCAAGGCCAGCCTACACTACATATGAGATCTTCTCTCGAAAAATGATAGATGGGGCCGGTGAGATGGCTCAGTAGAATAAGCGCTTCCCTGGCAAGCGCAACGGCCTGAGTTCAATCTCCGGTTCCGCAAAAAAAAAAAAAAAAAAAGATAGATGGATAGATGGATCTTTCTCTCTAAAGGGTATTTTTTTCTGGGGATTTGTTATAGGTGTGTGCCACCACGTCCAGTCAATGTTTCCTTTTGCCATCTACTTTTTAGTTCTGTATTGGACTGTGGGCACAGGAGGACACCCATCATTGAATACCCTAAAACTTAAGAGGGGAGGATTATTTCAAATTATCCACCACTCATTCACTGATTACTTAACAAATTACAGAATAAATTCCATTGCCACAGAAGGAAACTACTCTGGTACAGCAGAAGGCAGACTTACAAAAAAGAAAATGCATACTATCATATTACTATTTGACCATGTCTGGATAGTTGCTCAAAGGAAATCATCAACACTTTGCAAACAATGTGTTCTATGAATAAGGAGTCATAAAAGTCATGTAAATGCTAATTGCCCATACCAATAGTTAAACGGAATCCTCAAGGAGCTGTACTTGAATGCAGTGATGGGGTTCATCATAGTGTATCCTTTCCCTAGTTCACAGCAATGGCGCTGTAGCTGTGTACTGAATTAGGATAATAAATAGTAACAGTATAAAGATCTTAGTCAAGGGGCTGGGGATTTGGTTCAGCGGTAGAATGCTTGTCTTGCAAGCTGGAAGTCCTGGGTTTGGTCCTTGGCACCAAAAACAAACAAACAAAAAGATCTTACTCAAGATTCTTCTCAGATTCTCCTGTTAGTGTAGGAGTACTTGACTTAACAAGCTTCACAATAAGTAAAGCACAATTTTCAATGAACCTCCAGGGAAACGACCAAGTTTGGGTCACTTAACTTTCTTCAACTGTGTGTGATTTTAAGTCCATTCAATTTCATTCTATTTGAGAAAGGCTAAATGGGTAGTGGAACCTAAGGGAAGGCTCCCTTAATCAGATTCAGGCCTAAGTTGTTGACCCTTTCCGTATGTCTTGCATATGAATTAGGTCTCACTTAGGTCAAAGCAGTGTTTCTCTCCTAACATGGGAGTACAACTGGTACACACATCTCAGGGCTTCTGTTTTAACTGGTACTACACAGTGATTGAGTCCACAGGTCTGTTTACCCTTCCCAAAAGGTCCTATTATCAGCCCTATTAGTTCAACAAATATGTCAGTCAACTAGAGTAGCTATCTAATTTGAACAGTTAGCTTTTATAGGATTTATGCTCACTGGTTCATTAATTGAATAATGTGTCAACATAACAAAATGTTTGCTTCTTGCCAGCTCCAAGAAGCAAATTCTGCCTTGGGCTGAATGTTCTACTTTCTGAGACTCCAGTAACAGGCACAGGAGGCAGCGCCCAGCCAGACTGGTGTTCCATTTAAACTTGCCTGATAGTATCTGGTTCAGCAGCTTTTCTGTTTAAAAGCATGGAAAAGGCAAAGTAACTAAAATAAAGAATATGACAATGACTACAAATGATTAGCTGGAAATCAAAACTCAGTGGTGACAGACCATTGCCAAGTTAAACGTATGCTTCTCATTGAAATATAAGGAATTAAAATCTAAACATCTTTTGTAAGAACACGAAAGACTGGTGATCACATGGCTCACTCCAGTATGAAGCTCGGATAGAAACTCTTACCAGAAAAGATCTGGCTGTATCCTTTAGCAACAAAGTGAAGTCATATTAGCTTTTTGAGTCATTAATGATAAGGCTTTTTAACATGAAATAAACTTGCTGACGGATCCGGAAATCCTCCAAACCACCTCCATTCCCAAAATAACCAGGTAGCCTATTTCCAAGATGCTCTACCTGATTATTGTAAGGTAACAGAATCCCAACTCTGTGCAAGGACTGACTGTTGCTATGTAAATGGTTATATCACAAAACTAAAACCAAAATCCTGAGATAAATACAAAATGTTAGAATCCCAGGAGAAGGGTCCAAAGGCAAATTCATGCGTACATTTGAAAAATAGCAATAAAGATAACAATTACCAAAGGACCGTTTCCTACAATTACTCTCCAGAGTTGACATTTCTCAATTCTAAAATGTCATGAGAACTAAAGCTTATCATCACCAATTCTCCATTAAAAAAAAAAAAAGCATTACCAAAGAATGCCACCCAAACACAGCAGCATTTATATAGGGAAGTGAATGCCCTAAGCACGTAAGAATGTTATTTTTAAGACAGACCCTAAAAAGCAGAAGTCACTTTAAATTCAAAATACAAAACAAAAAGTTCCTAGTTTTAATAATATATACCTGTCCCTCCCCGCCAAAAACAAACCCACACAAGTTGAGATTTATTGACGTTATATATAGAAACTGTACATACTTAAGATTCCTCCTGGAGATGGGTGTCATAGGAAAACAGGAGAAAAAGCAATTAAGCATTTTATTTCACATGTATAGACATGCAGCTTTTTTGTTTTAAAAATGGAATTCAAGTTTGATTTGGGGGAACCTTGTTCTTGTTCTCTAAGTAAGTTTCCCATTAGACCAGAAATTGTACATAGCTCTGATTTGTCAATTAGTGTCAGATATTTTAAGCGCTAAGAGTGTTAAATCCACAAAGGTCTGCACTTTTCCCCCCCGATTCTCACCACTTGACTGCTCATCAAAGAGCAAGGCACCCTGCCAGCCAACATGAGGCAGGGGCTAAGGAGAGACAAGCGGCCAAGAAACAGCTAGCTCGCATGTCTTCCTTTAGACAACTTGGCTTGTCACCAAAGAAAAGAACCCAAAGAAGTTGATTCTTTTTTTTATATGATGAAGCTCATGAATGCACTTATAGAAAATAATCTATGATCAACTGGAGCCAATGTTTCTTTTTCTTATATCAAGGTAGCATTAGGACAATCTTGGTTTCAATCACAGAACAGCACTGGTTGAGATGTCAACATTTTACAGAATCACAAGGTTTCAAATTCACTGTAAAGATGATGCCCCTTTTGCCAGGGGTTCCACCAAGAGCTATTTTGCATCACTGTGCCCCACTAGCTATATGACTAATGAAGATGTTAATCAGAAAAAGCTAGAAAAGTAAACCCAACACTGATCCTCTGGCATACTCACTGAAACTACTAACTTCATGAACATGTGGTATTGCTAACAACATACACTAGTAAAACCCTAAGATTAATCGAAATCTTAGAAAAATCAGTAATAAATCATTTAAGAGAAAATGACAACTTGTTTGACAATTTCATGGGGCCCCCTTCAGGTGATATAACCATAAATTTCTCTCATCACCTTACTCATTTCAACGTTGCGAGAAAGTACCACAGAAAATGTGCAAGTTGAATAAAGCTGCTCGGGTGACACACTTTGTACCCAAACCGAAAACTGAGTGGGTCAAAACCTACTCCGCCTTGCCTCGGTATGAGAGGAAAGGAGACTGGGAAGATGTTTGCACAGACAGACCTTAGGAGCAACGCAGTTGAAGCCCCTGGGATAAAAGACCAACCAAGCAGGGTATGCAAGAGGATGGAGTTGCAAAGGGGGGCAGCAGGCGCCCAGGAAAGAAGAAGCAGGGTGGCGCTCTGGAGAATGATAAACCCTGAGTGTAAAGGACTGTAAAGATGGGGTTAGCTAGGGGGCCAGGATGGGGCAGAAGGAGTGACTGAGACAGGGCACCAGCTCGTGGCGGGGCAAGAGGGAGCCACAGCAGTGGAACACCGTAGGGATGAAACTAGCAGGATAAGCAGGGATGGGGCAGGAGAGGGCGGCGTGGGAGAGGGCGGCATGGATGCGACTGGTCCAGCCAGGTCACGATCACATCCTAGCGCCGACCCGAGCGCCCGCCGCGCGCCGAGCACTTTGCCGCGCGCTCCCAACAGCCCTCGCAGCCCCATTTCAGGGACCGGCAAGGCGAGGCCCTGCCGAGGTCCCCGGCTCGGGGCGGTGGGGCGCCCGGTCTTCGACCCCCGGGACGGGACGAGGGAGTGGCTGGCTGCCGCGGGAAGGGGAGCGGCGGCGCGGGCCGGGGCGCTGGTACCTGGGCTCCGGCAGGACGATCTTCTTGCTGGCACGCGCGGCCGGCGTCGCCTTGCTCTTCTCCATGGCCATCAGGTAGCTGACATCGGCCAGCACGGCCTCCAGGTCCGCCATGTTGGCGAGCGGCGGCGGTGCGGCGGCGGCTCCTGGAGACCTGCACGGGACGCGCTCTCGCCGCCGCCGCCGCCGCCACCGCCGCCC